TCTTTGTATCTAGCCGTCTGAAATTCCACAAAAAAGCCAATTTTGCCAATCTCGTGTTGACAACAATTTCCACAATAGGCTGCAACTGAATGCGGTGCTGTGATTTACCTTCTCTGTTACCTTGTCCAGGGGATTCAAAGCCACCCTCTGTTGCCTTGACGACACCAACAGATGGCGAAAAATCTTGGACCCCAAATTTGGGCTGAAAGGCAGCTCCAGTCCACTAGACCGTCACTGAATTTCAGCTGTGAGCTACAGCGAATTGCACGATCAAGGCATTTGGAATGCGTTTCCTATCGCCACGCTTCCTCACAAGCACCATGCCAATTATATCTGAACGGCATGGACAGTTTTTCACGGGTGCCTCTGTCTCACCACCGCGAAAGCAAGGTCCTCAGAACAGCGAAAACGGCTTTTTTCGCGGAATCGTTGAAAAACGGGTGGGTTTCTGGCTGGAGGACCCTTACTGCAAAGTACTACAAAATCGCCAATCGAAAAATGTAGACACAGCTTTGGGCAAAATTCCACTGAAAATTAAAAGATCTATGATGGGAAGGTAATGCGTCAAAGCCATAGAGGACATTTAATATGGTACAGAGGAAGTAGATAAAAACAAATTGAAAAATTCAGCATGCTTTTTGGAACTCCCATCTTTGGGAAATGTCAAGAACATTGCACACATTGCATGATATGCAGCAAATCTGCCCCCTCAGCTCTTGCTCAATTGACTTGTCACAATTATCCCACTCCATGTGCGAGATAGTTGAGTGTTACCCAGTGGTGATGAACACAATGTGCATCTGTTTGACAGTTAGAATGGTTTGGAGGCATCAAATCACGCATACTTTTGCCGGTCAATATCTTTTGGCATATTGACATCCCGTAGTAATGGCTACGGGCTCTTGTGTGCATTCCTAGCAAGATTTGTGTACATGACATGTGGCAAGAAGTAAAGGGAGGTAAATTTTGGAAATGTGGCACTCAAGCCAAATGTTGCAATGTGCACTATTGGCAGTATTCTTAGCAGTTCAACTGTCATAATGCAACGAGCCCTGGAAACATGTACTGCACTTGATACCATGTCTTTACGCCTTGTGGCAAAGCACGATGATCAAGTGCTCTGGAAGACAACGCCACTTGGCTATGGCAATACGATGCCATTTTGACAGTAATGGCACCATGTGGCGCAATAAAATTGTCTACCATGGCTTCTAATAAATACGATAGCACCAACTAGTGCCCAGATGACATCGCAGCTGCGATCGACAATTGAAGCTTCCTGAAACTGGTCCATTCGTTTCCTGATGACATACATCTTTTAATGCGGGAATCCACCGACCCACTCGCATGAGACCAGTTTGTTTTTTGCATTTACGGCACTATTTTTATGTTAATGTTTTCATACGAAAAGACTAAGAAACACAGAAGCGGCTACTATTGCGGCTATGTTTACTCATTTTACAGTCCATTGAGACACTCAGGTTACATGCCGAAGTCAAAAACAATGATCAGTCCTTCTTCCCCCTTGAGCACCTGCAGAACAGCGTCAACCCCGCCTTCGGCAAGGTCAATGACGTCGCCTACCAAATGGTCGTTTTTGAACCCATCCCAGCGCGTCTGGCTGCCATTCCTCGCAATCCCTGAGCTTGTACGTACTATCTTTATGTACACGAGGTCTGTATTTTCATTTTTTAATGATGCATGTTTACACATATTACGTAAAAGCTAATTTTGCATGTAAAATTGTATTACGATATGTTTTTATGCAGCAAACAACAAGGCTGCATGAGACTACCAATGGAATTGCTTCAACGCCACCAGGTTGCGTGACAGGCAAATAAAACTCAATCGCCGAAGCTGAACGAGTTCCATCAGCAAGCACGCGTACTCCTCTTCTAACAGGAGTTCCAATTGAAATATCCGGTTAATTTATTGATTTCTTGTTATGTTATTTGCGGGTGACCAATCTTCGCAACCGTGTGTCCTAAAAAAGCTTGGATTGAAATTTTGTCGCTTGGCAGGCTTTGATAATACGCATGTATTCAGGAGAACTCATGCAAAAAAATGCATCGCACTGCTGTGCAGAGGCGGGTAAAAATGCGCAGAAAAGGGTCTCATGTACCCCCAGCCTGGGCTGCTCAGTCAATCAGTAATTTACCATCGTTGTCGTTCATCACATCCCGCCCGGAGGAGTGTTTGCGCCATTTGCCAAGCACTTAACAGACGTGTAAAGCATACACGACACCTGCACACACTACACTAGTAGAAAAAGGACCAATCAGTAACTTTTGCGAACACATATATATGCATTTGATCAGTCTTCTGCATGCTAAAAGCAAGAAAATAACCAAACCCGTAAGCTTTGTACACGTTTGGACACGGGTTGTTTGACCCTTTTGTTCCTAGTGCTAGGGCCTGGCCCTGCCCGGAAGCGAGGATCCCCGATACTGTCATCAGCGGCGCTGGTGTGACAGTATGCACTGGCGAAATTCCCTCACTGGTCAGGGAGGAGTTTGCCGGCCTTCACTGAGGCGACGGGCGATCATTTTTTTTTAAATTCAGCACGCAACATGGTTGTGTCGACACGACGTAAGAATGCGCAAATGTGGCGGTGAAAATGGGGATTTCTGTAAAAATGCAGTTAACACGTGCAAGCGAAAAAAACTAAGAATAGTGCCGCGAATGTAAATAACAAGCCTGGCACTAGGGGAAGTGTCGCCCATGAGCTGCCAGACTCTATATGGAAAATGATTCCGATTCGAGTTTGTAGTTAATTCAACCATGTTGGATTTAAACGATCGTATTGCCATTGAAACGTACGTGCAGCAAAGCCAGTGGATGCCAGCATACGTAATGCCCCGTACACACCCAGTTGCGGGGTCTGCATACCAGCACCTTCAGCCGCACACCCCAACAACGCTGCAAAGTCGTGGGTGGAAACATCACGAGACCAGCAACGGTGTATAAAACAATTATGAGCAATTGCATTGATGCGTTGAATTGGAGCATTTGAACTACCTAACCCATGACCTACATTCATCTAACTGCCTTGGATGCGCAATCCACGCCTCAGACGTCCTCTTTCCGCAGTTGTTGCCACGTGGACTATTGGGACCCACAGACCTGTCCGGCACAGGCCGTATAACACCGGACCACCACGTCAATCACCCTAATCAATGGTGAATTGCTTCATCAACCACTACCAGGCCACACAATGAGCCAGATGCGGCATAGAAATGCTGCTCAAATGGCAGACACAACCAATTGTAGTAGCTGGCGCTCCACATCTCTGTCAAACTACCATCCACTGCAGAAATGCAGACGCACACAATCTACGGCGCTGGGGTGCCTTGACATCGTTCCAAGAGCAATCGGCCAGCAGCGAGCGGCCAGCACAGCATTCAGTGCAGGACCAGCATGTCCAATGCTGCAGACACAGCGAATGCGCAGACACAGGCGAAGCCGCCTCAGCGCAGCCCCAGCCCACACAGCTCGATGGACAACTCAATGTGCTTGGGCATTGACACCACCCTGTGCTTCCCGTTATCCCTCCAGTCTCGGAAGACGAAGTCCACCAGCACCCTCTCCCCGTCGCACAGGTACTTGCTGCCGTCGGAGCTCCACCCCCTCTGCGTGCGACCGTTCAACCAGACGCTGCTGAACTTCAAGATGCCGTTGTGGAAGGCAAAGCCGCTGCAGAGGATGCGGTCCTGGTGGTAGTCGATGCCAAAGACGTTCTTCAGCAAGTAGTGGTGCACCATCCCGTTGCCGGCGTCCCGGAGGTATTCCTGGGGCCAGTGGTCGGTGCACTGTATGACCACGTAGCACGCGCGGCCCTTCATGCCAGACGAACGACCGCCTGCCGAGCGAGGACCCCGCATACAAGACAAACACTCCCCTTAGCACCAGCTTCGCCACCCCTGCTTGGGTTTACGTGTGGCGTTCATACCGCACTCCAGTGGATTACGGCCGGTGGGGAGCATCATGACAGAGTTCATATCCAGCGCGTGGGTTCCGTGCACAGAGCACAGCGTCAACGTCTGCTTCCCCAGCTATTATGGCTAGAGTATCGAGTCTGTCGCCATTTCAAGCAAGCCCAGCCGGTTCTTCGAAGAATGCTTCGCACAGTTTTAGCGACCCGCGGACACAGGTTGGCTCTGTGCTGGACGGGAGATGAAGACGAAGCAAGATCAACCACCCGCACAGGTGCAGATCGGAAGTGAGCAGGAAGGCCGCGGGGAATGCAGCGACAGGCGGGCAGTCCATGGACTTGGCCAGGTGATCCTTCATTTGCTTGCATACTTGTACCCCCACAGGCTCGAGACCATATCGCGCCTCCGCGAGCAGCACTCACTCCTGTTCGTCCAGGTCGCGGAGCCGTCTACCATATAGACGATGACTCCCGCATAGTTCCTGCCCGGCCTGTAAGTGTCCGAGTAGTACGAATGCTTGATCTTCACGTCCCCCAGTTGCCGCTTTATGTGCCTGTACAGCCCGCTGAAGTCGTTCTTGCCCATGTCTCGCGGACACACGCGACGCGCGCGAGGGAGGCGGGGGGCCGCGAGTGCCAGAAGGGGAGGGCTATTTGTTGTGGGAGACTATGTTCCTGTGGGTGGCGCACGTACGTCTTGTGCCGCGGGGGAGGCGCAGCCCCTGCAGCGTCCACCTTCGCAGGGAATGGAAGCTGGATGTTCAGTGAAAGTAATGGCTGTGAAAGTAATGCCTGAGGCGGACGGGCGGCGAAGTGGCCTCCCAAAAATCGTTCGGGGCTCTGCCCAGGCGCCACTGACCCGCAGGGGGCGGATTATCGTCCTGAAGTTCACCTAACCACCTACGGCCCAGCTAACCTCCTTCCAATCTGCGTGCGCACCCGCATGCCTCCTTCGGTATTTGAACTGTCTGCTGTTGAAAAGGCTGAGAAACGCATGCACGCGTTCGCACTGGCTGCCGGCGCCTTTGCCTGCGGCGCGGCCTGGTGCTATCTGGGGTCAGAACGAGCGATGGCCGCGGGCTCCGCAGGCAACCCTTTTCGGTGAGCCTGCAGTTCAGGCAGCCCTGTCTCCTGCGCCGAGCTTCGTTTCCGATTTGGATCCCGACAAACAGGGTTTGTTTTCTGTTCACGCTGTCAGGGTCGCCCTGTTAGGCCATTACCAAGCTGGAAAGGCGGTTTACAGATGGTTGAAGGCCAATGGGTGCCAGGCACAGAACGACCCCAGCGGTCCATGGACGCTGCCCTACCCAGTAAGTGTTTTGGCCGACGCTCAGCGCACGCATACAGACGCACCGGAGCAACGTTGGCGTGCTTCTGAGCGGACCGTGCGCGCTTGGTGCCCTGCAGCGAAGCGGCAGAAGGGGAAGTGTAGGAAAGAGCATACTTTGTTTCATGTGCTGTTGCTTGGCCAGATTCTGTCTTGTTTCGCGGGTGCTACGTGCAGCAGCAAGTTGTCGTTTGATTTCCCCACTGCGCTTGGCGGTTTCTGCTTACTTTCCATTGCGGAATAGTGTCCGCAAAACTGCATTTTGGGAGGGGGGCGTTCATCACCTTGCCTGTATTGCTGCCCAACTTAGGTCGGCAACGCTACCAAGGTCGAGTTCGCATTCCATGACACCTTGAATAAGGACCTGCAGAAGTCGCTCAGTGCGGTCAGCGATAGGAGGCTGGATGCATGGATGCTGTTCTTCGACAAGTCTGACATTGACTGCCTGTCACCTAACACCGGCATTCCCGCATGGATGGGGGCGCTGAAGCAGCACCAGGCGCAAGCGGACCTTGTCTTCCTGATAGGCGTCGAGAGGTTGGGCTACCTATGCACAGTCGACACGCAGCAGGCAGAGGTGTGTATTCACCAAGACGCCAGTTATGGATCAATGGGAAGATGGGATAGCCGACAAGACCCTTCGCAGAAGCGGATCCACCCTGTTGTGAGAAAGTTTGGAACTGTTTTCAGTGCAAGACGCTGTAGACACTGCTGGTGCATGGGGCCATGGGCATGGCGAGGAAGATGGGAATTACCAATCTGCCTGTGGCACCTGCCAGGAAGAATGGAAGCAGTAGCATGAGCCCAGAGTAGATGGAAGAGAATGCAGTGGCTGCAAGGGCAAGTGCTGTGCTGTGGAATGTACCATGAACTCCAACAAATCTGAAATCCATCAAAACTGCTGCCTTCCAATCGAATGTTGTGGGCCTGCTTGCACAATAATGAGCAACACTTCAGCAGACATATGTGCAGGTTTGACTCCCCTGGTGGAATGTTCAGCTGCCGCGGAATTGTGCGGTATGGGAGATTCTGCACAATGGATAGAGCTTAGGCTCCAGGCTTGCTGTACTCTGTTGCATGAGCCTGGAACAAGTTCGTGCTCAGCGCTCTGATGACATTTGACAATGGAGGCCTGTGTGTCAGCTTTGACAACATGGACAAAAATTTCCAAGAATAATTGATCAGAAAGGGATGCCTATTGTATGATGCGTTTCATGTCTGCTACAGTGACTATTTTCGGGATGCTGGCATCTCCCCGACCAAATTGTGTGTGCAGGCCTTTGGCAAGCATCATGGCATGACGCTCATCGAGACAAAAGCAGTTGGGGAGGGGATGGATAAAGATACAATGATGGCCATGATACGCACTATGGCAATGGAGTTTGTTCAAAAACACAAAAGTGAACAGACCCGAGGAGTAGATCAATGCAAGGAACTGCTGATGCACAGCCAAGGTGAGCAGTAGGCTGTGGGGTAGCTGATATGTCCTGTCCATTTGGACTGGGCATTCAGCACCAAACGATGCCCAGATCACTCGTTCAGCAATCGCGCCGATTAGGTTAACTTTTCTTCGCCAGAAGTGAGGACCAACATGTTGGTTTGTGATTTGCCGATATGCTGTTTTGCTTGACCAGTGTGGTGGTGGTTGCAGAATGCAACTCTGCTGTCAGCTTGGTACTGAGGGGCTTTTGTGCCCTGTAGAAACTTGCAAGGCTGGGAATCTGAAAACAAATGGCAAGCTCAGACATCAGCATGAGCAGCCTAACATCACAGGGAGAGATGCAATGGACTTGGCTGCATCATTCGATGGCCAGAGCAAAGAACACCCTGAATATCCTCAAATCGAAGGGACAACTTCGATGGTCATCGCTGCATCATTCGATACACAACTTCAGTCACATGGTACGGCGTAGATGAAGCACACATCGGCAAGAGATGAATTCACCAAACCGATGATGCTCAATCCAACTTCCAATCAAACTTTATGTAGGGCAAGTGTCAGTGCATGCATACTGGCACGCGTGGGGACATAGCCCATGTTGGCAGGCACGGTGTAAAGAAAAATCTCAGCTCAACTCAATCAACTTACCTGTTGGGGTGCATTGACCCCTCTTGTATGAGTTCGGTTTGGGTATTTTCACTTTGGGTGCAGCCAACAATGAACCCTCCTAACAGACTTTCCTGCCAGTGATTTCCCTTCTGCAAGCCCTTCTGAGGCCTACCAAACGCACGGGGAAGAGCGAACAGCCTTCCCTTTGTGCACGTGCGTCAGCTTTTGAGCCATTCACGAATCGGTGTACTCCCCAGGCGAGAAAGAACGCGACGCTTTTCCTGAAGTGCCCACTGCGGACAGCCCCCACATCAGCTTCGACAAGGCGAGCGCCGGGGACGGCACGGAGGTTTTCAAGATCCTGGATCGCAGCCGGCAGCCGCTGAGCTGGAGGGAAGTCATCGAAATGTGGAAGAACTACCCCGAGTTCGCAGTCATGTTCTCCCAGACCCTGGCTGCCTCCCACCACCAGGCCTTCTTCTGGGAGACCGTCCACTTCACCAGGTCCACGCTCCAGAAGCCCTTCGAGATGGTGCTGGTGGATGCCCCTGGTCTGGCGCACACCCGGCCCAACCCAAGCCAGTTCAGGGACAATCTGGTGACTCACGGGCAGGGGTCCATCGCCGTGTTTTTGAACCTGGGCCGTGACGCCCTGTTGGTGTCCCCCTGTCGAATCGGCCGCGACAATTCTCCCTACGGCCACCTGGCGAGCTTCGTGAGGGACGCGCCCGAGCAGCAGAAGGTGGAGTTCTGGTCCACGCTGGCCGAGGCGATCGAGAACAGGCTGATGGAGGTGGGGGAGGAGCCCATGTGGGTGAGCACCTCGGGCCTGGGCGTGCCCTGGCTGCACGTGCGCCTGGACTCCAGGCCCAAGTACTACCAGCACATGAGGTTCAGGAACGCGGGCAGGCAAGCCGACCACCACCGGGGGGGAGGGCTTTGGGGGAGTCTTGGAACAGGGAGTACCAACTATGGGAGCAACGGGTTTGGTGGGCACGGCCACGGAGGCGGTGGCTGCGAGCACGGTCAAGATGCCTTCGGCAGGCACGGGCATGGAACAGGTGGCTATGAGCATGGTCAGGATGAGCCTGGAGCAGCTGCCGCAGTTGCTAACGGCAATGCATTTGGGGGGCGTAGTCGCCGTTCGTCCCATCATGGCCATCATGCGGGCACTTATTCCCATGGGTGGCGCCCACACTGAGCTCCGCCGTCCCATTAATGCCGCTGTTGTTTACCAATGTTCGCATGATGACAGTTTGAGCGCATTACACACAGCTAGGGCCGCTGGTTGAGTATTTCGCAATCTGATGTCCAGCAATTCCAACAATCTTTGTGGCCAGCCGTCGCCACATGTTGTGGACAGGCCGTTCGAGTGGGAGCACACATTGTAGAGGTCAAAAGAGCCTGCCGTCGCCTTGTGGGTACATGGGCTTCAGTGAGGCCGCCTCACATTGTCCGCGGAACAGGTGCAAGCGAAGGAGAACTCAACGCATTGGTGTTTGATTGGGGTAGAGACATTGGGTCGATTTCTTGTGTTGTTCGTTGGCTTTATATATTCTGCATGTAGTGCAGAGTGCATGCAGCCATTTCCTTTACAAATACCGTACAGTTGTCAAATGGACATTTCTTGGAGCATTCCTGACTGGCTAACAATAATGCATGAGGCACATGAAATGCAGTCAATGGATCAGATGACAACCAAGAGTGGGGTTTGCGGCAGGAGGTTCAACTGTAAAAATAGCTTAAAAAATAGCCCCTTTCGCAAATTTACGTTTACGTTTACGTTTTCTAAAAATATAACGTGAAAACGTAACCATAAACGCAAAACCAAGCCTGAGTGCAAGTGCGGATCCACTCCATAATTCCAGCTGGACTGGCTCTATATAGAGGCGAGAGCATGTCCCGTAGCATCCATATTGATGAAAATCAAACTGGGGGCCCACGCGTGGACAATTAATGCTAATTCTCGGTGCTAATTGCCACTCAGCAGCGATGAGGAAGGCCAGGTCGAGCTTTGTCATGCAAAACATCAGCTTGAATTCAAGCTCACCCCCCCTGCAGCCAACGCTCCTACTCGGCGCCAATCATCTTCTCGATACAAACCGCATTACAGTCGAATGATTCCATGCTCAGTTGCGCATAGATCGAGACCTTAGTCTTGTGTCTCATCATGGCTGCGTCTCCAAAGTAATCGCAGGCTTTGGGCAAATACACCATGCAACACCAACCGTGAGCATGCAGCGGTCGCGTACTGCATGTGCTGGCAAGTCACGCCGATCCAGATAACGAGTTTCTCTCCTTTCATCTTCACATGGAGATGCTAGCTGCAAGCTGAACGCCCGACGAGGCTTTTCAAGCAAACCAAAGGTGGGTTGGACCTCGTCTTGACTGAAGTAGACTTGGGAAATTTGCACAAACTTTGTTGCATCATGGATCTGCCACCTCTCTCGGGGTGGCCCACTTACCCCCAACCCCACCCCCTTCAGATGTAGCACTTTAAGTATCCCATTGAAAGCTTTCTGTTTATGTGTCGTAACGTCCGTCAACATATTAAAGATCTTCTATATGTCGATGGACGTTATGAGTCACAAACAGATAAATTTCAGTGAGACACTTTTGCATTTGCTTGAGTGGGTTGCCACCGAACTAAAGTTGCCAAGGGCACAAAATTCCCTGTTGTCAGTTAAGAATCTCTTGGCATAACATGCAAAAAGCGTTTCAGGTTCCAGGCTGGTCATCGACATATAATAGATCTTCTATATGTTGATGGATATTATGACTCACCAACAGAAAGTTTTGAATGGTATATTTTCGAATTCGCTTGAGTCCGTTGCGACAGAACTGAAGCTGTCAAGGACACAAGGTTCCCTGCTGTCAGTCAAGACCCTCTTGGTATTACACGCTGTGTGTAATGCAAAAAGCGTTTCAAGCTCCAGGTTGCTCATCACTTCCTCAATACACTTTGCGTGTAAATTCTTTATTTGTACTTCCTCCGTCCCATATTAAATGTCCTCTATTTGAAAGACAAAATTCGTTAGAAGAAATGCTTTAAAAGTACAAAACAAGGTCAGAATCAGAAAGATTGGGCCCCAAAAACCCTAACTACCAATTTTCGAGGAAAAAGGGTTGGTCCCACCCCTTGAAAGGCACCCTCGAAATTGCCCTTAGATTCGAAAAATATTGTGCCCGCCGATTCCGATTCCGCAGGAGATCCACACGGTTCTGGGTCGCTCCCATCCCAGGCATCCAAGGGGATGGCTTCGCCACTGCCGCAGTGAAGGGCGATACCCCTTGCGTGGAATAGCACTGGTCAAACGCGGCTGATGGTATCTGGATCGTCGTGGCAGAAAGCCATCGTCACAATGTCGACGATGCCAGAAATTGCCTCGACCCTAGATCTGAGATGCAAGGAACTGCAACGAGCGGAATAAGCCAAGATCAAGGACGCTCAAGCCTAGGCTCTGTGCACCCTACCACTCAAAGGTATTTGGGTGGCTTTGCGTGGACAACTTGCCTTGATGGATCTTTGAATCGAGGCCTTCACGCGCAGCTTGGCCCACGATCCATGAATTGCCACTAGCGGCCCCCTCTTTTGTGCGGTCCACAATCCATCACCACATATCTCGTGTGTCCTTGCAAAAGAGACACGGCGCTAGCCACCTGACCGTCCTCTTTGTATCTAGCCGTCCGAAATTCCACAGAAAAGCCAATTTCACAAACCTGGTGTTGACAGCGATTTCCACAATCGGCTGCCACTGAATGCGGTGCTGCACTTTACCTTCTCTGTCAACTTGTCAGGGGGATTCGGAGTCACCCTCTGTTATCTTGACGGCACCAACAGAGGGCGAAAAGTCCCTGCCCCAAAAATTCGTGGCCGGAAGCCAGCTCCGGTCCACCTGGCCAGCACTGAATTTCAGCCGTGAGCTACGGCGAATTGCACGATCCGGGCCTTCGGAACGCGTTTCCTATCGCTGCGCTTCCTCATGAAGACCACGCTGATCTTATATCCGAACGGCGTGGTTAGTTTTGCACGGGCGGCTTCGTTTTGCCGCCACGAAAGCGTGCTCCTCAAAACAGCGAAGGCAACCTTTTTCGCGGAATCGTTGAAAAACGGGTGGGTTGTTGGCTGGAGGACCCTTACTAAAAAGTACTGCCAATTCCTCAATTCTTAATGGATTGACTTGAAATTTTGACCGTATACTCAGAAAATGTAGACGCAGCTTTGGACAAAATTCTATTGAATAGAATAAATTAAGGTGGAAAGGTGATGTGTCGAAGTCATAGAGGACATTTAATATGGGACGGAGGAAGTATTCACATTTAGAAAACGACAGCATCAATCTCCTTGCATCATTCTGGCCACCGTTCTCGAAGGTAAACTTTGTTTTTGCATTTCAACGAAACAATTCAACGTTCTGTGCCAGACTCAAACATGACCTTTATGTCAATTGTCATGTACTGGTGGGACATTTTTCCTGCCTTTCGCATAACTGCATATGCACGGAACAGCAGCCCACTTGTCATCTGCGCTCTCATGGAAGGAGACGGGAGTGTGGCCAATTTGCAATGGCATCTTGTCGTCCTGCTGATCCCGTAAGCGATTGCAGCTACGGTACCCGGCCGCTTCCCGCCAGCGACCCCGTTTCTTCACTGACCCATGTGAGCGGCGCTGTGTGCCACTTACAATCAAACCCCTGCGGGGCATTCGCACTTGCTGTCGGCTCCTCTAGTTGGTATGCAACTTGGCGCTTCTTGGGTGGAACAGGGTCGACCCTCTACCACTTGGATCCCAACAAGGTGAATGTTTCCTTCTCGTGCTGTCAGGGGCGTCCGATGGCTGACGAAGAGCGGCGCTGACGGAGAAAACCCGGGGAAGCAGGCGGGAGCCGTGGTGCGCTCAACCCGCGCGGCGCTCGCCCTCCGTGCGCCGGTGCAGGCCGCCCAGGGTGTGACTGTGAGTGGGTGGTCCGGGCGATGCCGTGCGCCGGGCGCCGGGGAAGCAAGCCGGGGGGATTGGGCGTGAGCAGCCGATCGGCGGCCATGCCGCGCGTTGGGCCACATTCGCGCCGGTCAAGGAAGCCCGGGGATGGGTGGCGTGTGCACAGCCGGCGTTCGTGCCGTGCGCCATCCGTGCGGTGCGTGCTGGTACAGGACCACACAGCAGCCGGGAGGCCCACCAGACGTTACTGAAACCGCGTAACGCTCGCGCGTAATGCGAAAAAGTGACCACGCGCGCACACGGCGCACAGCACCAGAGGTGTCCCGGAACCCCCCGGCCTCCCCTTAGTCATGCCTAAGTCCAGGCCAACAGGCCGCGTGCGCCGGCCGAGAAACCACGGGGGAAGCCGGCGGGAGGCTGGTTGCCGCCCACGCCGCACCGCGCCCGCGCTCCGCGCGCCGGTGCAGGAAGCCCGGGGACGGGCGTGAGTGCGCGATCGGCTCCCACGCCACCCGCCATGCCGCACGCGCGCCGCGGGAGGCGCAAGGAAGTCGGGGAGGATGCGAGTGGGCGGTCGGCGCGCATGCCACGCGCAGCGCGAGGCGCAAGGAAGCTGGGGAGGGGCGGCGTGTGGGCGTTTCGGCAAAGTCGCCGTGTACCCCTCCCACGTGACCGGTAGCATTACCCGGTCTGGCAACATACGCTTCGGTGTGGCGCGTACCACCCACGCGGCCTTGCGCCCCTGTGCCCAAGTCGCCGCCCCTTGACTCGCCACAGCAAGGGGGTTATCGCCCGGAAACACGGACGTTCCCACAGGCATAAGAAGCGACAAGCGCCGCCACAGCGGCGGGTCGCCAGACTGCCGCCCCTGCAGGGCGAGATGGCGCAACTTGGCGCCAAAGACGCCGGTTCAATTGCCAACTCGGCCGACCGAGGCCTTGACTCACAAGGCCTCGTCCTGCACGGTGGCCACCCGACACCACACAGGGGGGCTATGCCGCAGATTGGCATCGAAGAGGGGCACGTAGAACGAAAGAGGCGGTCGCGTGAAGAGGCAACAGGGGCTAAAACCAAATGCCGAAAAGAAATTCTATCACAGAATGCTTGCGAGCGTATCCTCGTTTCGTAGGACACTGCAGCAAGTGGATGAACCTTTTCGCTGAGCCCTGGCCGTCTCCCAACCCGAACCGCGCGGGAAAGCCACCTCCGTTGTGATGCACCCCTACGATCGCGTTGGCGACTGGATTTCGCCTTGCCCACCATTCCCACCAAAATTAATAGATCTTGGATCGTGTTGTTTTCTGGCAAGGGGAGCGCCCATACATTTTGTATGTGAAAGAAGCTTTCCCAAACCTATGGCCTATGTTATTCTGGCTGCATGCTTCAGCGCTTTAAGGTGTATATGTCGTGGAGGCTTTGTTCTGTCGATCGACTATTTTCCCTGTTGATCGGCACTCTCCTTGTCCCAAGATCTTCCTTGCCAATCTTTCAGTGCGCCTTGGCTAGCCTTTTCCCACTGCCTGCTCCTTTCATGGTGCAGAGCTAAACTTGCGTTGGGCGCCGTGCTTTGCACATGGAGGGTAAGATTGGCCATGATCGCCGGCCTGTGCTGTGCCACGCGAGATTGGGCAGTCTCGCCCTGCAGGGACGGCAGTCTGGTGACCCGCAGCTGTGGCGGCGCTTGCCGCTACTTATGCCTGTGGGAACTTCCGTGTTTGCGGGCGGTAGCCCCGTTGCTGTGGCGAGTCAAGCCGCGACGACTTGGGCACAGGCGCAAAGGTGGCACGCGTCACACCGAAGCGTATGTTGCCGGGCCGGGGAATGCTACCAGTCACGTGGGGGGAGTACACGGCGACTTTAACGAAACGCGGCGTGTGGCCGGTCGACGTACGCGCCGCGCGCCGTTTGCGATGTGCCATCCATCCCGATGAGACCTCAAGCTGAGTGCCATTGTGCCCTGCCACCAGTCGTGAGGACCAATGGGTCACTTGGCGTATTGCCTATTCTACCACCAGAATTGAGCGTCGAATGTTGGTGGTGTACTGCATTTGGCAGAATGACCGTCTGCTGTCCATGCCAGCATTAAGAGTACATTGGTGCCCTGCAGATACCCGTCAGATTGAGAGCCCCAAAACAAGTGGCCAGATCGAGCAGCAACCCGACGATCCGAACATCACAGGGAGACACGCCATGGACAATGATGACCAACAACAGCCACAGCTTGGTACGTGCCAGCTTGGCTGAAAAAACTGTGAAAATCTGGGAACAGATGCATGATTCAATTTGATATCGCTCACTCAACACATTGGAATCGATTTGCGTGTTTTGGGGTGTGCCGGCAACTCTCCTATCAGCAAAGTTTGCTTTTTTCCACCCGAGGTGTAGCAATGCAAGTGATAGAACAATGGACAGTCCAAGCATCTCCTGAATTTTGAGTGTTCTCATACTGCAAGGGGCGCTGTTACAGTCTTTGAGTGCATGGGAATGAGTGCCGTACAAGGCCCTGGTATTCATCCAACACTTTTCATGCCAGTCTTGCATGTGTCTACACCCCAGGCGAAAGGAAAGGTGACAGCCTGTCTGAAGTGCCGGATGTGAACAGCAAGCACATAAGCGTTCATAAAACCAGAGCCATGGATGGCACGGAGCATTTCATGATCCTGGATCGCCGGCAGCGGCCGTTGAGCTGGAGGGACACTATCGGAATGTGGAAGAACTGCCCGGAATTCGCTGTCATGTTCTCCCAGACCCTGGCTGCCTCCCACCACGAGGCATTCTTCTGGGAGACCATTCCCTTCACCAGGTCCACACTGCACAAGGACTTCGAGATGGTGCTCGTGTACGCCTCAAGGCTGGTGCGCACCCAGGCGAACCCGAGTCCGTTCAGAGACAATCTGGTGACTCACGGGCAGGGGTCCGTGGCAGTGTTCCAGAACCTGGGCCGCGACGCCCTCCTGGTGTGCCCCTGTCCGATCAGTGGCGAAAATTCCCACTACGGCCACCTGGCCAGCTTTGTGAGGGGTGCGCCCGAGCAGCAACAGGTGGAATTCTGGTCCACGCTGGCCGTTGCGATCGAGAGCAGGCTGGAGGAGGTGGAAGAGGCGCCCGTATGGGTGAGCACGGCGGGCCTGGGCGTGCCCTGGCTGCATGCCCGCCTGGACTCCAGACCTAAGTACTACAAGCACGGGCGGTTCAAAACTGCGAGGGAAAGAAGGAACTAGCAAAGAGAAAAATATGACCAAGTTTGACCGCTGTTGGAAGTGGCTTGGCTGTGGGAAGAGAAGAAATTTATGGATCTTCTGCACACGTTGAAAACTGGTCGTGCTGGAGTGGCAGACTGGGCACTCAGCTATTGGCTATCAGCAAATGTCGGGTTGGCATTCGCAGATGCTCTTGACTTTGGGGATACTTTGTAACTCTTTCAAAGATGTTGCTTATCTTTGGCGAATTGCAAAGTGTGCAGCAGTTGTTCTCTCTCGGTACTGCTAATTGTCCTGCTACCGGGCAGATTGGATGGTCTCGACTAGATGGATTGAATGTACAGGAACTGACAGGATTCAGTATAGTGGTCAATCCTCCAGATCGATCCCTGCTCTATGATAGGAGCAGGGATCGATCTGGAGGATTGAGGATTGCATGTCACTTGTCAGTGGCTGGCTGGGGAGCTGCGACACCAAAGCGTTACATCATACTGACTTCCTCAAGAATAAATATCAATTCACCAGCAGAACCAGAACCCATCCCTGCATGGCGGCTATATCTACGTCATGTCCGGCGGTATTACCGCAGTAATACTGGTATTATTCCGCAGTAGTACTTGACTGGGCGACAGAACGCTGCACGGCCATACGTCGTTGGCTGCGAACCTGCCTAAATAAACAAGGGCGCAATTTTCTGCCGTCTTGCCAAAGGTCTGTGAAGCACTCCTTCTCCCACAACACAAAAGATTCGCAGGATTTTCAGATGTGCACCTGTGTGCATCACTAACATAAACCGGAATTGAGGAACGATCGACAATTGCCACATCCTCCGTATGGAGGGCTATTGGCCTATGCAGCATAATGGCGACTCCTGACAAGCCTGATCAGCAATATCGTCGTTGATGCCCAGTTGTGTTTTCGATAGGAAGTTTTCAATAGTACAGAAAATGGCAATCCATGCTGACCACCGCTCCCCGAAATACACAGTATAAAAATTTGCCCCTCGCAGGAGCCTCCTACAACAGGGCAGAATCTCCCCCACGCGCCGCATCGGCAGGTCGACACTTCCTCGGCGTCTTCCCACACCAGGCCCTTCGCAGAGGGGTGCCAGAATCCGAGGCAAGTCTTCTTAGAAAGTTCTTACGACTTTAGTTGATGCCCTCATGGTCCCGTGGGTCCCTTGTCGTCGTCTGCAAGGTGGCAGTTGTTCCTGTCGTCACCCCCTCCCAACGGGGTCGAGTGGGGTTCTATTCTGGCCTCTCGGGGCGCCGGACATTACTAAAAATTTGGCCAAAGTACACGGTCCTAAAAATCGTGTATCGTGTTGTGCGCCCAAAAATCGTGTCACAGACATGTGCTGATCACGAAGTACACGGCTGCAGCTGGTGCACTGTTGAAATGCTCTTTCCACGACCCCGCACATTGATCGCGACGCCACTGGGCGCGCCAACCGAAACAAATGAAGCGCACTGCGCCACCGTTAGCTTGCAGCGAGCATCAGTGCAACAGACATTTGGCGTAGACGTCGAAACCGAGGTGAGACACCAGCAGACTCTGAACATGCAAACGTCGGGAGCTGGGGCGTAGGCCGCCCGAACCAATGGAGGTACGTGAGGCGCCTAGGTATGGATAGGCTGGTCGACCAGGCAGCGAGTGTGCTAGGCTACACCTGGTCCTGCTGCAAGTGCCACATGGAATAGGAAGGAGCCCTTCCGATATGATATGGCGATTATTGCCGCTGCGACTTGGGTGCTGCGAGGCCTTTGGGTGGCATGGATTCCAGGGCGCGGCAATTTGGGCGACGAGCGGATGACGGGGTCCTTTGGTGACGTTGTGGGAGAAAGAAGTCCTCAAAAAATAGGGCAACCAGCCGCAGCTGCAGCAACTGCGGCGAATTGAAATTGGGACGTCCGAATCAAAGAAGAGCGGATGTGGATGTGGATGTGTTACAGAGCGTGGAACGGTTCCTAGGAAGTCACCGCTTCCTTTCTGAGCCACCCAAGAGACTAGTGTAGCAGAGCCAAAATGTCCCACAACGAAAGAACGCCGGCAACAGCCAGCTACCAAAGGCGCATAGAACACGAAATAGTGATGAAGAGTAAAGCTAAAAGTCCCACAAAGTGTAAGAACACCAGACACACAGCAGTATCACACAGAGAAGCAGCCCAACGGGATCAGAGTATAGCTTGACGACAACAGAAAGCTCTCCAAAGAAAAGAGGCCACACAGCGATGGTGTGGATGAGAGAAGAAAGAGAGCAAAGTACTATGAGCAAAGGGAGGCTGAAAGTCTAACCACAGAGAAGCATACAGCGGGCAGTCAAAAATGAAGTGAGCGTCGGTCTCAATGGTGTGAGGGCCGCAAAAGGAAGGAAGAGCGGTGAGGACAGCTCTGGATGTTGCCAGTTGAGACTATTGTGCAAAATGGATCTCAAGAAGGCCGCTCTCCCTTCTTGAGATCCATTGCATACATTGGACACGAGGGCAGTTCAGCGTCATTGGTACTTGCCTCCTTGTGAAAGGGCAGCATTTCATGGCGTCCAGCCAAATCAAGAGACAATGGGTGCATGTCCTAGGACATGGCATGCATTTTATTGGCCTGCTAGCGCCAGGAGTTTAACAACTACTACTAGTTTATACAATCTGCTCCTGACTGGTCTTGTATCCCCTCCGTTATCTTTGTTGGTAGTGACAGTGAACAAAATTCGACTTGGTTCACCGAGACGATAGATCGTTTGTCGAGTTTCTACACCGATGCTCTCTCCCTCCTCGCTCCTCAGAGTTGAAGATGGTGGATTCATCGATTGCATTCATTGCGTTTTGGCTCTTGTACAATTTTCGCCTCGCTGGGCGCCAAACGTCTCGGCGGAATCGCGTCATCTATTGTCATTAATATTGGCAACGAAACCAGAGATCAGAAGGAATTGAAGCCATTCACAGCTCGCTTGTGTCGAAAGGCCTGCATGTGTGACTGCCCTATGGGATGGTGAGTCACGTTTTGTTGCTTGTAGTGTATAGCAAGCGCCCAATCCAGAGCCCAAAGTTCAGGGCTCCACCAAACGAGACACCCCACTAAGTCACCCAAAGGGAAAATGCACACAATTTGCATCCAATTGACAAGCACTTCAGCAGGTTGAATCACAGGCCGCCCAATCGCAGCACCCTCCTGACGACCCCGACCTCGTCTTGCTGATTCAGGTTGCCACAAAATGCTAATACGATTCCTAAGGGATCGCAGCTCACCCCTTATGTTCTCAAGGGGTCCATTCCCACGAGGCATCCACCTTTTCAACTCAGCATGCACACTGGCCAAGCGTTCCCTTCCAAACTGGTAGATTCATAGAAAGAATGGGGCCAGAGTTGCATGGATATTTCAGCGTGCTTTTGCTTTTTATCAACGGTGGGCGGCTGTCCATGTCAAGCTGACTGGTCTATGGTGTAGCGACACCCAGTCAGTCCCCTTTTGTCGGTCATGATCCCGTCATTGGGTGACGTGGCCCCATGACTAAGGGCGAATTTAACACTTTTGATGCACATACTCTGAGGCAATGGTTCAGCAACCCATCAACACTTGGTCCGTACTCTCATCATAGTCTCATCGGATAGCGCCCGCCAACTGCCACCTGCAGCACACCAAAGGCCAGCTACAATGACGGCCAGAGCGTCGTTGGTGGATGTGCACCAACACCAAGAACGCATCTGACGTTGAGCACGGCACATGTCACCTCATCGTGACCGTCGGCACAATTGCCGCCTCTGCAGCACTCAAACTCAGAAGGGCAGCCGCCATGTTCATTGCGTCAGCCATTCTCAGACTCCAACGATGCTGATCTCAATAATCTCGAATCTCGTCTGGGCGTCGGCCGTTGGGGGATAGTGCACGCTGCAAAACTCAGGTGGTGCCTGTGTCCAGAGACCGGCAGTCGAAATTGCGAAGCCAAGGTATCACAATCGCAGCAGCGAACTTTGGATCAGATATTAGGCAAAACCAGCAGACGTAGACTAATTCTACCGTCGCCTTGTGGCTGATGAGTCACGACCTCACGGTCATGGTCAGGCAATAAGGCAATACCAATGTGCATCTTCACGCACCCTCCAAAGTCGGTGCACCTTGTGGCAGACAATTGCAGGTCGCCACTCAAAGTAGAGTATTATCAGTCTCTAAGTACAAATTACACGCGTTCCTGACAAAATCTGGCGGGAAAACCTCAAAACACCAGCGAGCCAATCAAAGCCCCAGGAACAATGTTCCCTCTTTGCATCTTCAGCAGCCCAGTCATCTGTCCCCTCTGAGCGGTGTTCAAAGAAGGCGATCCAGGCTCAACACAACTCTCAAAGCTTCTCCACACAGAAGCATGTCCTGCAGCACCCTTGGCAACCCATTTTTTGCCTCAAACTCTCACCACAGGTTGCGCAGCCCAGCTGTCAGTCCTCCCAACAAGAAAACAGCCCTTCAAAGACATCCCATCACCACATCCACACTCTCAACTGCCTAACCGTCCCTTCTCACAGTTCCGCAGTCTCTCTTGCTGCTGCCCCAAAGAAGCCCCCACATTGGGGGCTTCTTCTCTTGCTCTCATCACAGGCAAAATCTGCCCAGAGACAGTACACAAGTTTTCTTCTCAACCGCAACCACAGCCAAGCCCACTGCAGCTCCAAAACTGAGCAGTTGCAAGCAGGGGCCCGGCAGGGGTTCAGGAAGACTGCATTGAGACCTCAGCCTCCAATGCAGTGAAGATGTCTGTGCGTGTGACAATCCCGATCACTGTGGCCCGCTTGTCAACCACAGGGATCCGATGGATCTTGTGTTTCAGCATCAGGCATGCAGCATCTGCATAGAGCATGCAAGCCACTGTCAGTGCACATCCTCTGTCTGCAATTGCAAGAAGATAAAGGAAAAGGAGATGAACAAAACAAAACCTCAGCTCAAAACATCCCCGAATATATGCAAGGCAAAATCTTTCTGCACATTGTCGATCCCAAAAGATTGCATGCACTTGCCCTTGCAACTCCCCTGCCTTTTGGGACACAGCTAGTGTTTTTACACAGACACCATCAGCAGGACAGCGCACGACTTCAAGTACACCTTCCACAATGCAATTTCTTTCTGGTTTCTTGCTGTATTTCTCCTTCTAAATCCACGACATCACATGAAATTCAACTATCCAGGTTGCTACCGATCGTCAGAATCTAAAACTGTTCAAGCAGAGAAGTCAGCGACAACAAGTTACATGACCACTACTTTTTCCAACGCTGTGTGCAAAGATTCCTCCCATTCAGGTACTGATCTGTAGCCATTCAATTGTGTTTGCTCAGCTGCTCACCTGTTCCCTAGACAACAGGAACAGAAAGCAGACAATGCTGTTGCCAAAGAGCCAACTGCTGCCTGTAACTTGTTCAAGATCTCCCTTCACCAGTTCATGGTTTCACTTGTTATGCAGAGAACTTACATGGCTCCTGATATATCACAAGTAACGTTACATTCAGAACATTCTGCAGAGCCAACCAGTCAAGTTTTTGAGCAGTTTTGTTTCCCTGCATCCCACTGCGGGTCAAGATCCAGACAATGTGAGTTCGGACCGTAAGTGCAAGAACACGACCACGTGTGACTGATAACCAAGGTGCACTGATCACAAGAAAACAAAAGGCATGTGGAACAAAACATGATAACAAACCACCTACTAGGCACATCTGGTTCTGTTTACACCACTAAAGTGTACACAGATATACGATCAGCACGTCAGACAATAAAGCATCCAGAGCTTCCACACACATGACAACAATGCAATGCAGACAAAACGCATGTGTTGCATTGATCTGCCTTGAACAAAGAGGAAAGGGGTGCCCACATTATTCCTCCAAAAGATACCATATATATGTGTACCAATACCTGTGATCTGACAGCACTGCTACTGAACACTGAGTGCCTCTTTTTTGTTTCACCTCATATGTGTCTGCCTACAAGGTGTTTCTCGTTCGTGCCAGGAACAGCATCCATTGATGCACCATAAGCACAACTGCGTGACACCAGCCCCACCAGAAGTGGACAGCACTTCACACACAAGAGACAGACTATACAGGCTGGCACATACAGTGCACCCTGCGCAAAATCTGGCTGCCTGGTAGCTGTCCTATCTTTCACTATCACCACGTCCACCTTCTATTTCATATCTCCTTGTAAACACACACGATCATCACAGTGCCGATCATCACAATTCAGGTGCAAGAATTTCCTTTGGCCAGCATAATACAACAAAACCTGTTGATGAATCGATCGACAGGGTTCCCACCTGCGACTCTGTTGCTCGCCTTTGCAGCTATCGGTGGCGTGGACATCGCATCCTGGACGGTCTCCTGGATGACAGCCAATGCACAAGTTCAATGCAACGCCTACAGATGACACTGTTTCCCTTCTCCCTTCTCTCACTCATCAATCCACCACCTGTCAAAATAACAGGCTCAGCCACAAAGGCTCAGCATTCCCCTTTCGTTTTTCTTCTCATGGCCCTGGGCCAATTCGCTGTCAAACCTTTGGCCTGGTGCATCCTGGGCATTTGGATCATCGAGGCAATCGCAAAGAGGACTGGGGGCAGCACAGACGCCCTCCCGCCCCGCCCCATTCGCCTGGAGAAGCCATCCTCGCCGAATTCCGCGCAAAAACTTTGCTGCGCCGTGCGCGACCATTTCTGAATCATTGAAGAACATCAAACTTGACGATCCCACTCACCCCGCCCCGGTTGTCGACGTCGCTCCTCGAGATTACCCCCACCAGCCGCTTCTCCTCGTCCAGCACCGGAAGGCCGGTGTGCTTCTCGAACAGCGGCGTCACCTCCGACAGCGCCATGGACGGTGTCACCGTGGTGATATCTGTGCTCATCACGTCCCGCAGGCAGTAGCCGCCCATGCCCTGCGCGCACAAACCCCAAAATCCCCTTCTTCACATTTTTGCACCTTTTCTTTCGGAAAGCGCCGCCCGAACGCGCCGCAGCCAGCGGACGGGGCCGGCACGTGAGGTGGAGAGGGTCAGTGGCCAGAGGCCCGGGATGTGGCGCGACCCGCGGCCGATTCGGCGGCGATCAACTGCGGAGGCGCGGGCCGGCAACCCGGGGCGCGACCGCACCTCCTCCTTGAGGACCTGCCTCTCGTAGTACCCGCCGAGGTCCTGCCGGGCCGACAACACATCCGCCGCGTCAGATCTGATCATGAACGCACGCCCTGGCCAAGGCACGTCAGCCACGCTCACTGTGATTCCCAAACCGCAACAGGGTGGTTGGGGTGGCGGGGTTGGGTGGAGTGGGGATCCTGCACCCCCACAAAGCCCGTGAAAGATTCCCGACGTCCTGAACAGTCTGGAGCCCGCACTGCCCCTCTGTGTGGTGATCACGTGCAGTCAGGCGCGCTGGCAGCGCCGCTTACTGGATCCGGCCGCACGTCTCGCGTGGCCGGGCCCCACTGACGCACCTCATAGCTGGCCAGGCTCCAGTTCATTGGCCACTCGCCGCTGAAGCTGCCCTCTGAGGCCTGGGGGTCCGCCGGCGCCGCGGCGACCCTGCGGAATCTGGCCCGGCCTGATGCCCTAGCCGACAGCCTGGGCGTCACGGCCCCGGAGATGGGGCAAGGCATGGGGGGGCGGGCGCTGCGCGGCGTGCCGCTGGTGGCCGGCCGCGGAGCCATGGCGAGTCTGGTGCTGTGTGGGCGTCGGGTCGCGGGCACGGGGGCCGGGGGGATGGGGGAGGGAGGGCCCTCGCCGACGCTTGGCAGGGCGGTTGGGCGGAAACGTTGAGTAAGGGCCTGAGGAAAAGGGGGCGCAAGCCGGGGGCGTGGTGTTGCGTCGAAGTCCGCGTCGATCGTGGAGTGTTGGCAGTAGTGCTCACTGATGTGATGAAAGTATTGGGCTTTTTCGGGATGTGGGGCGGTGGGTGCTGGATAATAGTATTCCTGAACAATAGTGCTTTACACGCAAACTGAATTCCCTTCCTTGCACACGCTCGCACAAGGTCACTCCCAGGCACGGGAAGCAAGGCCGCAACCAGATGCGTTACAAGACAAGCACATCAATCAAATAGCGTTTGCAGGAAATGTTCCCAATTAGTAAGCACTGCCAATATTCACCGTTTTTCAACACTGTGATCACCTGTGTACACACCATATTTATCGCCAGTCCCCATATAATTACTTGCCATAATTTCCTTGCCTTCATACTACTAATAAGACTTCGAGATGATGACGATTCAGTGATGCTAGTTCGCGCAACCTGCCTTGAGGACGGACTTTCTGCTTTTTTGTGCGGACTGGGGCTGAATGATGTGGATGGGTGGTGGAGTGGTGGGGTGGCGTCTGGATCTGGGTCTGGGATCTCAGCTTCAACGAGACAACAGAAACCAGTCAAGGTATTTGGACACAAACTCGGAGATTTGGGAATGGAACACCAATCTTGTCAAATACTACATCACTTATTCGCTGTTGCCAGCTCCTTTCGTCTCTCTGCGGCTGTTGAGTAGCGAACTCCACATGGGGGAGGTGTTGGTGCTGGTGCTTCCACAGCTGCCAATTGGTCATCACTAGTTGACAGGCGACAAGAGATACCTTGAAGTCATTTCACTTGTATTACTATTATCGGGTTGACCGGTCTCGCACACGCTCGCACGGTCGCTCCCAGGCACGGGAAGCAAAACCGTAACCGGATGCATTACAGGATGAGTGTATCGACTAAATATCAATCACTGCAATAATGTTCACTTTCCCATCTCCATTGTCCCCATGTACATTCACCATAACACCATGTCCACCATATTTACTTCCCACCATCAAAACACACCATGTATCATATATTATACATTAACCGTTCGCTTGCTCTCACACGCTTCCCTGCGCCAAATATACACCCACCGGAAACTCATCCCTTTTCAAATGGCATCCCGATACGGCCGTAACATATCCGTGTGCCTAACCCATACCTTTCCTTCTGGCCCCTGTACTTCCCAAACCGCATTTGTTATGGGGCGAATCAACACCCCTGGACCCTTCCACCATGGCTCGAGCTTGTCCTTGAGTGTTTCGACTTTTGTATTCCATAACCACACCCAATCCCCCGCTCTAAACGTCCGTTGGATACGCCTTCCCCTGGTCCTGTGGTTTGCCTTCGCGCGCTGTTGACGCGCGTACTCATGTAGCCTGCCCCACACGGCCCTTGAACTATTCCACAATTGGTTTGGCGATCCAAATGCGAAAGAGGTGCGAGTCTTCTTGTTCTCTTCTGGCGATGACAAAGGCGTGTTGTTATAGATCTCCACGGCCTGCTCAACAGTCTTGGCGAAATACTTGGGTTCCTCAGCCCACATGCGCCTCAAACGGTTCAAAAGTGTCTGATTGAACCGCTCTACAAACCCAATAGACGCGTGATGGTAAGGAGGTGAGAACTCCTGTGTCACTCCCTCCTGTGTGCACCACCTTTGCAATTCCTTGGATTGCGTGGCTTTGCAGACGTCAGAACACAAGATGGAAGGTGTCCCTCGTGTTTGTGCCCACTTCTTTAACCCCTGCACAATGTCCGCCCCCCCTGCACCCGTGACAGCCCACGCCCTCGCATATCTGGTCAGCATGTCCACGATGACAAGAACAAAACGCTTCTTCCCTATCTTCTTCTCAGGAAACGGCCCCATGAAATCCAAGCCAATGACTTGGCCAGGCTTCTCCGGCACATGCCAACAGCCAAACGGGTTGGATGGTTGCGGTCGATGGAACAACTGACACACCCTGCATGACCGCACTCTATCCGTCACCCACTGCCATGTTGGACGCAGACCCATCTGGCGAAAACGAAGATATGTCTTTCTGATTCCAAAATGCCCTGCATGGGCCTGCTTCCATTGTGCCTGAGTAATGACCGAGCGATGTCCTTCCACTGCGCGAAGACGAGACGGTCCCAAAATCCAAGCCCCCTGTCTAGACAGAAAATCTGCCAGATAATTAAATGGTCCTGGACAAAATGAAATTTGCGGAGAGTACCAAGAAAGGTGATCAAGGCGCCTCTTGAGGAAGTCGCTCAAGTGTTCTGGATTGTTGAAGCTCACGGCAGCTTGGTTATCCATGATGGCCCGAATAGGTGCACCAAAAATCCATGGTCTGAAAGTCTGAAGAGCTCTGCAAAGCGCTTCCAACTCCAAGACGTTGCTCATATGGTGCTGAAAAGATGTTGGCCACAAACCGTGCGCACAACGAATAATCCGATGCCCAGTCAGTAGCACCGCTCCCCAGCCAAGCTTACTCGCGTCAGTGATCACTGTGAAAGACCCAGGTAATGGCGCCAAAGGAATAGCACATCTGACAAAATGGCAGCGCAGCAAAGAAAGAAATTGTTGCCACCGAGCCAGTGAAGGATGTGCTTGGACGTCACGCAAGGCTGCCAATACCTGATGGCCCCGCCAAATGAACCGAGCAGAGTGGTTCAACCAGCCGCGAATTTGACGCCAACCTGATTGGGTGGTAGGCATAGGAGCTTGCTCAAACTGAGTCAACACTGCGTCCGTCGGTTCCAAACCAGAAGTTGTAAGGGTCACCCCCAAATACTCAAAGCGATCCCGGCAGAACTGGCACTTGTCCCAATTGACCCGCCATCCATCCCGTTGAAGCTCTTCCAATAAAATGGCTAAGTCCTGCTGATGCTGGGCTTCCGACTGGGACAATAAAAGAATATCATCCATATAAAAAAGGATCTGCGACTGAATACGACTAGACACCCGGCGAATGGTTGGCCACAATGCTCTCAAAAACTCATGGGAACTATTAGAGTACCCAAAAGGCAGCCGCATGTACTCAAAGAATCTCCCTGCCACTGTTAGCCCAATAGCACGCCATAAACATGGGGCAAGCCGGATTTGCAAATAAGCATTGGACAAGTCGAGTGCTGACCCAATGCGGAACGGACGTAAAGCTGCCAAAGAGAGCTCACGATGGACAGGAAGAAAAGGCTGGTGCTGGACACAAGAATTGAATTTCCGAAAATCCAGCACAAGACGAGTTGAGCCATTCTTTTTGGGCACCCCAAATGCCGGAATGATGTATGGCTCATGGTTCACCTCGCGGACAGCCCCCAACTTCACCAATTTCAAAACCTCCTCCAATACCTTGGCCTCCTCAACTGGTCCCGTCATACGGCTGGAAGGTTGCGTTTTCCAAGGGAGAGGAAAACGAAAAGGAAAGCTGCGGACAATATAAGTGCGACAAGTGCCAAGACCATCTGCAAAAACAGCAACATATTTGTGGCGCAAGGTAGCCAACCACCTAGGTGGTGCAGCCAATGCATGAACGACATCTCCGTGAAACCCCTGCATTGCCTGACAAAACCCCCGACCCTTGCGACCCTCAGGGATCAAAAACACCCCCTTATCGGGAATCCGAAACCACTGAACCGATGTACGACATGCCAATAGATCATAGCGAGGCATCAACTGCTGTGGCTCAGCAGAGAAATTCTTGAGTGCGCCCCAGATTCGCACACCATCAGTTTTGACAATGAAAGTGACCTGACGGTTGGGAAGCGTCACAAAATATTCCTGCAGAGACCCCACGGGAAACTTGCATTGGATGTTAATCCCCCGACTTTCGTAAGGCCCCAGGACTACACTGCGATTCAATGGCAGAAACAAAAGACCATTCTTATGATAAGGAGGGTAAAGAGGGCGTTCAACAAAATCTAGAAAAGATCTCCCATCCTGCCCAGCTACTCCCACCGTAGACGACTGGAAAGAACTCAGCTGCGGCCCACAGCCGCCCCCAGGCCACGCCACCTCCCGTTTCCCGAGATCGCTCTAATAACACCACCCGTGGCTCCCCGTTCGCCTGCAATAGCAACTGTCCCAGGAGTAACAGGATGGGACGTACAAGGGAGTAAAACGCCCTGGCAAAAAGCAGCATGATGAGGGATGGTGACCACCTCCGAACCGGTGTTTAGCAGAATGGCCTTGAGGCGGCCACGGTAATTCCTGTCAATGACCCCGCCCAAGAGCTGGATGCCATAGCGATGAGCAAGACCCGAGCGCTCTTTCAACAGGCACCAAGTCCCTTGAGGGAAGTGGCAAGCGATTGCAGTGTCAACGGTTGTGCGCTCACCGGGGCGAAGACAGAGTTCCTTGGGCGCGAAAAAGTCATATGCCGCATCCCCCGAAAAATGTTTCTTGGGGAGTGGTGGCAGACAACCCTCCA